GAATTCCATCTAGATTGGGGCGTATCTGTAACTTGGGCAGCCTCCCATCTCCTTTTTCAGAGCATCCTCCCAACTCTTGGATTTCCCTGGCCCAAGAATAGAATCCCCAACAGTAGAAGTACAGAAACTTGCACAGGTCTGTGGGAAACATTCATATTTGGAGGAGGAGGGATATTTTTTCTCCCTAATATATCTCTAGGTCTAAGTGTTTGTGGTCTTTTGAAAATTTGGGGTGGGGGGACGGAGCTCTACAATAGACTTGGGTAAAGAGAACAGTGCCTGAGTGAGAATGGATTGAATTCTCTAACAGTTTCTCTCCTGCTTATCATTTCTGGAGAAAAAGGCTATGAGGAGGGGTGGTTGTGGGATGAACAAAGACTGCTATGCTCAGAGTTTGGCATTGTATTGACACAGGCTACTGCTTCCAGTTCTGCTTGTCATGGGTTCCATTCCATTTTCGTTACACTGCGTGAGATTTTAAGTTGATAATCTGCTCACTAAACTCACGTGCCTTCTTGGAAAATCCTTCATCAGTACTTTCCAGTTAATGTGTCTCCCCTCACGTTCTCAGCATTCAAATGAAGAACAATAGCCAATCAAATGACCCAGTTATGCTTCAACAAGCTGTAAGTTAAAAAATTGGGCTTGCCTTAGCCACAAAGTCAGGTGTTTATTTTTGAGCACATTAACATGTACTCTTTGATGAAAATACTTTCCGGACCCCTTTTGTATGCTTGAGTGGATTTGACCACGTCTTTAGCTCCAAGCTTACCAATTTTTTTTATTATAGGTTATTGTAAGATCTCGAATATAGTTCCCTGTACTATATATTAGGACCTTGTTGTTCAATTATTTTGTATATAGCAGTTTATATCTGCTAATCCCAAACTCCTAGTTTATCCCTCCCCCCTTCCCCTTTAGTAACCATAAATTTGTTTTCTATGTCTGTGAGTCTATTTCTGTTTTGTAAATAAGTTCATCTGTATAATTTTTTTAAGATTCCACATATAAGTGATGTCATATGATATTTGTTTTTCTCTGCCTGACTGACTTCACTTAGTATGAAAATCTCCAGGTCCATCCATGTTGCTGCCAATGGCATTATTTCATTCTTTTTCATGGCTGACTAGTATTCCATTGTATTTATATATACCACATCTTCTTTATCCAAGCAGTTATTGATGGACATTTAGGTTGCTTCCATGTCTTGGCTATTGTTAAAAGTAATAAATGAAAGTTTGAGAAGTATAGCTCAAAGAACTCAATTAATTACCCACACATTCAGTTTCTTGTCTGAAAATTGACATGGTTGGACTTGATAAGCTCAAAAAATTCCCTTCACCTATAAACCATTAAAATGGTAAATACAGAATTCACAAAAATCTATGGGGAGAATATTTTTAATAAGGGAAAACTGTTAATAATCTAGATATAAAACATAGGGAAATTTTAAAGTAAACTATTATTTAGCCACGATTAAAAAATGACAACCAAATACAAAATTCTGAAGAGAATGTCAAGAAAAAATCAGGGTATAGAATTTAATGATTATACTTAATAAACAGGGGGAAAAAGTATGAAATGAAAACAAGCAGGATGCAAAACTACTAATGTGACATGAATTCAACTATTTAAAAAGGGAGTATGTGGGAAAAAGGAAATTATGAGTTTAGATGGGCCTATAATTATCTTTATTTTTAAAATTTGTATTAAAAGTTTTAAATTTGTATTAAATTTAAAATTAAAGATCTTTAATTTTCTCAACTGACATATATTATTTAAAATTCTTGTATAGCTCACTACCCAAAATTTCTGACCCTCTCCCTAATTCAAAACTTTTATTACTTTTATAGTTATAATCCCAGCTATACTGTGTTTTATGAGTTGTCTGACTTATGGGAATCCAATTTCATATTTGCAAGTTATGCTACTTTAAGTTCCTGTAGCGTCTCTGATTCTCTGGTTTGCAGCCAGCTTAGGAGTTCACCACTTTAACATTCCGCAGAACTGTAGGGCTTACTTCTGTAGTGGGGTAAGGATTTCATTTTTTACACAATTACAGACAGTATTTGCTCCTCAAATTATGATTGTCACTCATGCATGGCCCAGGGACGGGTTTTTACAGAACATTGAGTCCTGAAATTTCATCAAGAGGAAGAGCCCTTGTATGGAAGTTCAGAAGCACAGCTTTGCTGTAAGGCTGTAAAAGAACTAAATGACCTCTAAATATCTCAAAAATCCTCTTTTCTTTAAAATATGAGCCATATTTTGAAAAAGAGCTAATCTTGTTCTATGATGATGGGTAATATCTGGTGGGTTGTGCAAGTGAATTAATTCCTCTGAACTAGCCTAACACAGAGAGGGAGAGAGAGGGTGCGCGAGCACATGCGCAATGGGGAATGAGTAGATGAGGAAGAAAGCAATCAAGAGAGGGAACTGGGGAGATGAAGGAAGAGGGGAGAACTTGTTCTTTTGCCAGGTTGTGTCTGAGATGCCATCGCCGAGACAAGCACTGGTGGGGATGCTCAGTGAACTGCGCGGGACAGCTGTGGAGCTGCAGCCATGACTGAGTAGGTGGTACAGCATAGAGAAGAGAGGGCAATGCCTGGCTTCTCTCTTAGCCGCACTTTACTTTGCTTCACATTTGCTGAGACTACAGAGTTCTGTTGCTACTCGATCCATTTGCTGGAAGTGGATTGGGACCAGCTATGAAAACCATTCCTCTTGGGTTTGGTATATTCCGTGTACAAACTATGAACTCATGGGGTTTCACAGTACTTGCTGGACTCTGTAATGTGTTTAGGGGGAGGGAGGGACAGAGATAGGAAGTCCAGGCTTTCTAGCAGACCTTTTATATAGGCTTCCTCTGTAACCTGTGGTTTCCAGGAAACGGCAGGCTGTGGGATAGCTTGTAAAGAGAGGCTGGCTAGTGCGATGTCCTATTCTAAAGGAGTGATAACTAGCAACATTGAGCAGTTTTTCATGGGCCTATTGGCCATTTGTATGTTTACATTGGAGAATTGCTTGTTTAGGTCTTCTGCCCATTTTTGGATTGGGTTGTTTGTTTGTTTTTTTTCTTATTAAGTTGTATGAGCTGTTTACATATTCTTTTAAGCCCTTGTCAGTCTCATTTTTTGCAAGTATTTTCTCCCATTCTGTAGATTGTCTTTTTGTTTTGCTTATGGTTCCCTTTGCTGTGCAAAAGCTTGTAAGTTTAATTAGATCCCATTTGTTTATTTTTGCCTTTATTTCATCACTTGGGTAGACTGCCCTGGGAGAACTCTGCTGATATTTGTCAGATAATGTTTTGTTATAGGTGAATTTTGAATTCCATGCAGAAAAAGACTAGTTACTAAAAGGTGAATGATTATGGGTTATGATTAGCTCATAACTCACGTTGAGTCCTAAGATATCTAGGCGGAGTCATCTAATTTGACACTTGATGAAATCCTATTTTTACAACATGTTGACACAGAAAAACTTCTTTAGCTTGCCTTGAATAACACTGACTTCCAAAATTCCTTCAAACTCAAGAGTAATTCTCTGACACTTTGTCACCAATATTAGAGAGATGGACTCTCTTCAGTCACTCAAATGAGATTATGTATGCAAAGTTCCAAATGGTGCTTGACACGTGGTAAGTGCTCAATGAATTCTCACACCCTCTTTTAGTAATTTATCACATTATGTTAACATTTAGCTACATTCGGGGGAGAATTTCATCACTACTGATTGAACAATCTCACCACACAAATTTTTAGGCTTGTAGGGCACAGTCATCTGTAATCAGATCTTTGTTGGATTATTTGAAAGGATGAACAAATGCAATCCTAGATTAAAGATAATTATACAAGCATTGGATCAGCTCAGGCAGCCAGCAGCCTGACGTGATGTGAGTATCACCAGTCAACAAAAGCAAACGTGATAACCAGACATCCAGGGAGCCAGGCAAACAAATCATGCTGTGCTAAATGTCAGTAGTACCCTTTTTGCATGGCGTTGCTGGACAGCAATAACATGAAGTCATTATTGGTCAACTGGTATGAATTATTAATTGATGTACAGCTTAAATTTTTCCAGCCCCTTGTAACCAATGACCAAACTCAACTGAAAAATGATGTTTTTTTAAAGAAGTTTGTGGAAACAATTAGAGAGAAAAAAATTTTCTAATGCAAAAGTGAATCAAAAGGAAGGAAGGAAGGAAAGAAGAAAGAAAGGAAGAAACAGGAAGAAAGTGGGAACCTCTAGGGTGCTGAAATCCTTTGAGGAAAAAAAATGCAAGATGAGCAGATCACAAAGTGCAAGAAGGGAAATTGGACAGATTTCCTGGCAATATTGGTACAAAATTGATCAGTCTTTTGGTTCCTAGCAAATTAGTTCTTTTCTAGAAAGTTCCCTCCTCCCACCACCCCTGCCCCAGCCAGGCTCTGTCAGTATGTCTCGATAATTTCTACCATCTGGTTGTTACTCAGTTTTTCTAGTAGATAAATTAAATAGCAATCCCCACCACCACCTGCAGGTAAAAAAAAAAAAAGAGAGAAAAAGAAAAAAACAAACTATTGCTTAAAGCACATCCTACATGTCCTATGTAATACGTCTAAAAAAGTTTAGAATAAACTATAGAAATTCACATATAAGAGAATGTCCAAGAAATGGGATATGAAGTAAAATGGTTTTTTGCATCTCCATTTATCTAATATAAGGATTTGGGTTGAAAGATATGAGTCAAATATTATTATGAGGCCTCTATAAGGAGAACCAATTGGAAAGAGCAAAGAAAATATAAACACAGTAAGCTAAATATTAAATTTAGTTGAAGTCATAGAGCGTGAGAATTTGTTTAGAAGTGTATAAGCCACACATTCTTTTTCTTTTTTTAAAAATCTATCAATGACAGTTTTACAATGGATTCCAAAATGGTACTTGGAGCAACGCCATTGTGGGAGGGACAGAGTTCATATATTTCCATTCCTGACCGGGTGTGGGTTGAAACTCACCTGGCCAGCTGTTAGCAGCAACTCTGAAGGCAAGGAGGTAAATGCTGACATTACCTAATATCATTTTTAGCAATGAATATGCATTGGAATTTTTACTTTAAATGATAGAAACCCAAAGGAGACTTGACTGAAACCAAAGAATACGCTATTTTTATTTTTATTAAGTCAAGTGTTTTTTAAAAAAGAGCAATTTGTTTTATGATGCTTTGAAGTTTTTATAAATGTGGCAGTGGTTGCTAGGAGATATTAGCAATATCTGTCACCTCCCTCAGCCCCCAAGTACCTGATGTATTTGATTGATTTTTTTAAATGGGGATGTTTGAATTTTTTTTTATCTTTACATACTAGACAGATTTTATTTCACCTTTTTATTAATTATTTCTGGAATATAAAATGGTAAAATACTCAGAATTCTATCTGTATTTTAAATCATATGAGTTTAAATTTCTTTTTTGCAAAGTAAGTTGGAAATGCTTTTAATTGCATCTTTCACAAGTAATTCTTTCTTTACAGATATTGTTTATCATTCAGTTAATTATAACCAGGTTTGTATATTTATTCCAGCAGGGTAGCATCTACTTTTGTGAACTTTGAATTTCATTCTTGGGTTGTTAATAGCTTTGTGGTAATTATGGAAATTATAAGACATGAAATACTTTGGGGATATAAATTTTTCTTTCTGTACTATGTAGGCAGGAATAATTTCACTCAGAATATTTTGGGTTGTTAGAAAAATCTATCTAAACGTTTACATTTTTTCTTTAAAGTAAACCATATTTTTAAAAAAATCTATTTAGCCTAAACTTTTACATTTTTACTTTAAAGGAAACCATGTTTTAATAAATGAACTATTTTGGGTATAGTAGAAAATTAATTAAAAGCTGATTCTACTGTATAATATCTCTATTGATTATAGCTGTCTTCAGAAGATGTAAAGTTAACATGAAATATTAACATTAATATTTCAAACATTAGAATTATTTACAATGAAGAAGGAGCATATGATAGCAAATAAATCCATAAAAACTTACCAAGTGCTCATATGTGCCATCATTTGTATTCTTTACTGATAAGATACAAAGATGAATAAAGACATGAAAACCACCCTCAAGAGAATTATGTTTTGAAAGCAAAAATAGAAATATCAAAAAGCAAATGATCAGCGAAATAGAAACTCAAACGTGTATACTTCATATCTACAGGAATATATATAAATGTTGTGAACTTCACATATGTATATGACCATGAAATGAGCAAGTGCATGGAGAAATAAAGGCCACTGATTTGTCAGTGTTGTGAAAGCAAAATTCAAGTTTATCGTACAGACGGCAGAACCTCATATTCTGCCGTCTGTACGATAAATTTGAACTTGAGAATCAAAGCTCTTCTTTTACCTTATTAGAGGTCAAATAACAAGTCACTTCTTTGGGAAGTATTATAGGCAAAAATATAGTTATATTTTATTGCTATCAAAGTGATATCTTTTTTTCTGAATAAAATTTTCCCATTAGCTCCTCCCTCTGTAGCTATGGCTGGCAGGAGGTGATAATGGGACTGTAAGTATGAAATTATGGAAATCAGTCCCAATTTGGGGTAAGGTGTTTACAGTCTTGCAATTCCAATCTATATTATGGTGCATTTGCATAGATTTCAATGCAATGTGAAAAGATTTTCCAGTAGATATTCAATCTAGAGAAGACCTCCTGGGTAGATCACCAGAGTCCTGGAAAAACAAATGGAACCTGAGATGCCCGAAGGCAGAGAGGTAGTTCAAAGAGCCTTGATGGGGGCACCATGTTGGGAGGTCCTTTCTACGGCCCAAGACCCCAGTCAGAGACATCAGTGTAACACGTACCTGCTGGCGGCAGCATCTCCCTGCCATGGAGCTGTGTGGCGGGTCACTCAGGGCGTGGCCTTTTAGGGCACCAGTGCTGTGTGCCCTGGATGGCAGCACAGTGTGGGAGGAAGAGGGTGGCTTTGAGCGTAGGCTGAATGGACCGGTTTGCACACCAGGTGCATCACTTAATGGTTGGATGTGAAATGAAGATAATTTCTAACTTAACAAGATTTTTTGAGAATTAGAGACAACAGAGTGAGTAAGGCTGCTTCCAGAATGAGAAACGAGGGCAAAGAGCATCTATTCCAGCAGACAGGATGGGCTTGGCGAGGTCTTAGCCCTGCTTTGCTCTTGGCTGGTGTGTGATTGTGTGCAAATCACCTCACCTCTTCTGGCCTCAGGTCTTTTTTTTATTTTTTATTTTTTTAATCTTGAGAAGAAGGGAGTTGGCCGGCTTGAGCAATCATACTCTTTTTAAAGCAGGTAAGACGTTAATTGTTCAGTTCTCTGCACCATCATGCCAGGAAGAAACACCCTTCCACTTTGATGCCAGGGGCACAGCTGTACCAGGGAGCGAGGGTGACACTGAGCAAAGAGCTGGGAGCAGAGGACCAGGTGGGGATCATTCAGCTTTTCAATCCAAATCCCTTCTCTTCCTTCAATATCGTCTGTCTGTAGTCTTCTTTTTTTAAAATGTAATTTAATTTACTTTTGTTTTTTGGGGGGAGGGGAGAAGTAATTAGGTTTATTTATTTATTTTATTTTAGTGTAGGTACTGGGGATTGAACCCAGGACCTCATGCATGCTAAGCACGCGCTCTACCGCTGAGCTATGCCCTCCCCCCAGTCTCCCTTTAACAGCAGTGAACCAAGAGCCAGAATGTCCATTGCTTTCCCCTCCTTTGATGCCAGACATTTTGATCAAATATTAACCTCGGTTGTACAACCAAGGCTTTACAAATATTAGGCTGCCTTTTATCCAACATTTTATGATTTAACAAAAGCCTGTGAAATCTCCTCAACTCAGATCTTTAATTTACTTGATTCCTCTACTTCCCTAGTGGACTTGTTAGTGCGTGGGTAACAGGAGCTGTTGTCGTAGAGAGAACGTGATAGGGGTGACTATATTTTTGAAGATGTGCAGTTGTAGCTTTCTGAGGTGTGAGCCATTTAATTTCCAGACACACCCAGAACATATGTTTCTTGGAAAACACCTCCCTGAACCCAGCTTTAACAGCACAAAATGAGAAATACAGTTATGTACAAATTTGGCAGAAAAAAATGTGAGATTAAGAACAGACCCTAAGCTGGACAAGGGGGAAAGTACCAGCACGTAGCAGGTGTGTGTTTGGCAGCCTGTCCCACGCTGAGCGCAACTTAGGAGCAATAGTAGATGCAATAGAAAGAGCACTTAATTTCCAAGTGCAAATGGGATTTGGTTCCTCAGTTTTCTCATCTGTAAAAAGGGAGTGATAATATCTACCCTGCAGAGTAGGATTAAAGCTAATATATATAAAACACGTCTGGCACATTTAAAACAAGTTACCCAATGCTATCTTTTGCATTAGGTTTAGTAGACTGAAGAGTCCATATTAACTGGGAGGATGCTGAACCCAATGCAAGGGGGAGGTCCAAGGCAGGATCTGTGTAAGATTCTCTGCTACTTCTGGAACTGATTATTGATGGGGGAGCAAAGAAACTGTCCTAAACCAGTTACTCTCTTGCTTTGGTTTGGTGTTGCCTGTGGGTCTACACTGTCAACAGAAGGCGTTAAACCTAATGACTGCTAAACCGCCAACATCTTTCAAGGTCTATTATCTCTTGAACAATATCAGTGGCAGACCGCAGTGCCTCATGTCCTGTAAGTTGCATATGGAATGAGTCAAAAGGAGTAAAACAGGTTAAAAAAATGAGTAAAATATTACAAAGAACATGGCCCAGGACAACTGGCTGGGCGCATCCTCAGCCATGGAACCCTGAGGGGAGAGTGCAGAACCAGGGAGGGCCTGGGGAGAAGGAGGAGGTGGAATGACGCTTCCTTGGCTGTTGATTTGGCTGTGGGGAAACGGTAGCCTGTGACCTGATCTACCTGAATAAAGGAAGTTCTGCCACAAAGCAGGTAGAATTGGCCCCCAAAAGATAGATTTAAGTCCTGATAATCCCCAGTACCTGTGAATGTGATTTATTTGGAAGTGGGGTCTTTGCAGGTATAATCAGGTTAAGATGAGGTCATACTGGATTGGGGTGGGTCTTAAACCAATGACTAGTGTCCTTATAAGAAAAAAGAACTTTGCACACACACACACACACACACACACACGACACAGGAAAGAATCCATGTGAAGATGGAGGCAGAGATTAGAGTGATGCCTCTACAAACCCAGGCTGGCTGGGAGAGAGGAGGCATGAAACAGATTTTTCCCTGAGAGCCTCTAGAAAGAACCGACTTGGCCAAAACCTTGAACTTGGACTTCTGGCCTCCGAAACTGTGGGAAAATAAACTTTTGTTGTTTGAGCCACCCAGTTTGTGGTGTTGTGGCAGCCCTAGGAAACCGGTTCACACCACTCCATGAAAATAGACCTCTATCTGTATCAGTGGCAGTATCTCCATCTATATACCAGGAGGCTGGTGACCTTAGCTTTCCAGTTTTTAATAACATATCAGCATAAGTGCACATGATTGCATCTCGAGTGCTTAAAATGAGAACTGTTTACCTACTGTGCCCTGATCATCATTTTCTCTCTCTCTTGTTTTGTTCTGTTGGTTTTAGACTGTCATCAGATTCACCATGGACTCTCTGATTGCTGCAAACACCAAATTTTGCTTTGATCTTTTCCAAAAGATCAGCAAAGATGATTATCATAAGAACATCTTCTTCTGTCCACTGAGCCTCTCGGCTGCCCTTGGCATGGTCCGCCTGGGGGCCAGAAGTGACAGTGCCCGGCAGATCGACCAGGTACAGATCCTGGGCTCTTGATCCAGGCTCAGAGTCAGACCCGAATCCCGCTTTGACCTGTCTCCCTGCCCCCTGCGCCCTGGGCTCGCTGGGAGCCCGTGTCTGCCCCGCGCTGTCATTTACGTCCCCGCCTTGCTTTCTCTGCCATCCAGCCTTTATTCAAGGCTCACTTAAGCCTCCAACTCCTTCATGAGGCCTCTCCAACCTCACCCACCTGACAGCTGTTCTCATTCATCTCCTCTGTCTCTGTCTGTCCACTCATCTTTCTCTCTGTAATTATCGAGACCAATATTGACAGTAATTTTTAATGTGTGCATGCATTTTCTCTCTCACTCATTACACTAAATGAAAATTTATTAAGCACCAGTTGTGGTTCCAGACACTAAAGATGCTGGTGTCCTCCTTGACTTCTTGCTTTTTCTCTCACTTCCCGTTAAATTTGTCAGAGCTTCCCACCATCCCCCCGAGGTCTGTCCCTTCTAACCTGCTGCCCTGCTCCGCTGCCGGTGTTCCCAACCCAGGTGCCAGAAAGCTCCTTTTAAAACCAGAATCAGACCCTGTTTTCTCATTGGCTCAAAATCTGGACTTCCCACTTTGCAAATGATAGAAGCCCCAGTCCTTTCAAAGGCCGATGAGGGTCTGGGGATCTGAGTTCCAGGTCAATTGGTGACCCCATTTCTCCCTATCCCTTCACTCCAGCCGTACAGCCCACTCCCTTCCTTGGGAAATCCACACCTGTTCCTGCTTTGGGGCCCTTGGTCCATCCCCTTTGCCTATTGTTTTATTTCACCCACCACATTCAAAATATTATATCAACAGGCAATCAGTTAAACATTTAAGTGAGATAGTTTACTTTTTTTTATACCAAGTCTTCAAAATCTGGTGTGCATTTTATCCTCCCGGGGAATTCAGGCTGGCTCCTTAGCTGCGTGTGGCTCTGTGGCTCCTGGATGCCTTGATATTGATATTCTTTTGGTTTGGTTTCATTCAGTTTTAAATGCAGTCCCAGGGGTCGGGGAGCATTCAGCTTACTTCCCCTCCGTTCCACCTCACAACGCTGGTCGAAAGAAACATCCACCTTTCTTTCAACTGCTGTTGATTGTTTTGTTTGCCTATGTCATTATCGTCATTGCCACGTTGTAAAAACGTGTCTGAAGCTATTCAGACTTCCTGCCATTTGTACTGTCTGCCGTGATCACACAGGTACTACACTTCAATGAGTTTTCGCAGAATGAGACCAAAGGACCTGACCCCTGTCTGAAAAGCAAAAAACGAGAAAGGCATGTCGACAACTCTCTGGAAGGGCAGAAAAAAGAAACGACAGGCTCTCTGACTCTGCAGGTGAACCACTGTGAACCCCTGTGCCTCTACCTTATGAGCTGCTCAACCTGGCTGCCCTGGATTTGGTTACGGTTGCTTATCCCCAGGCATTAGGTCCTGGCTGTCACCATCAGCAACATCCAGAGCAAAACTCCCATGTGACCCACAATGCTTTTCTGATGATGCATCTTACCTGTCCTTGTCTGTAAGGATACAGTATCTCCTGCTCATGATAAAGAAAGTTAGAGCGTAGCCTCGGTACTGCCCTCCTTTGACAGGCGCCAGGTCCCCAGGGTGGAGCCTGGGTGAGGGTGAGCAGCAGGAAGGTGGAGGAGGCAGCTACCCCTCACACTCTCTCCACTTCTGCCTGTTCTATTTCATGCTGAAATCGGTGCTGACACACAAACCTTTCATTGGTTGTCACAAACCAGGAGCAGTAAAGATACTCTCCAGGTTATATATACCCCTACGTTAGGATAAGAGGAGGATGGGGAGAAGATGACCTCTTTCTTGAATCTTTTTGAATACAGAGGAGAATAAAGCACACTGATCTAAAATCTAGTGTTCACTGTGGAGTCCCCAGATAAATATTTACTGGGTAATCTTGATACCAACATGGGAGCCGTGACTGGGAGCACGTCTCACCCTCCATCCTCTCTTCTCAGCTTGCTCCCCGACATGGTAACAGCGTGAAATGACAATGTGCTTTAGTGATGTTGTGACTCTTCCCGTTAGATCACATTTTATTTCTTCTTCTGTTAGGCTGAGTCTTCAAACAACGAGAGTGGGCTGCTCAGCTGCTACTTTGGGCAGCTTCTTTCCAGATTAGACAGGATCAGAGTTGATTACACCCTGAGCGTTGCCAACCGACTTTATGGAGAGCAGGAATTCCCAATCTGTCCGGTGAGTTAGGCGTAACTGGTGATTGTAGACACCATGTAGGCTAGGATTTAAAAATCAAGGAGTAGCTGGATTACTCACTGGCTACCTAGAGCACAAACCTCCGACAAGAGGATGTGCTGGTGGGATGTCCGGGACCCATCTCTTTCTCTCACACACCTTCTTTTGCCCTCCTCCCAGTTTTCCAGCTTGCGCCGTTTACAAGGCCCCTTGGGTGAAACAGAATGGGTGGAAAGAGGATCATGTGACCGATGGCCTGGGAGCCCATGTGGGTTGGGTAATGGTGCTTTCTCCCATGACAGCCCTTCCCAGTCAAGGTGCCTGGTAGATGCACTTGGGAACCCCTCTTCCCGTTGGCTCCTCCCTCCCCGCTCAAGGCACTTCTCTAAGATCACCTTTTGTGCCACGATCAGGCCACCTCCCTATGGAACTCCAAAAGGCGCAAGTCTTGTCTCTGTGGCTAAACAGCTTTGTACCTAGAGCAAGATGTCTCTGAGTCTGTCAGTTTCCTCTCTCGCCAATAGAAGGAACTACAGATTAAGCAATAAACACAAGGGGCCTGACCATTGGGAAAGATGAGGTTGAGCTGGTTAGGGCTGTTCTAGTAAGGGGAGAGGGGAGCCTACTTCGACAAAATTAGTAGGTTCTCTTACAATGGAAATGAGATTTTATATGCTGTTTTTTTAAAAAAAAACTAGCTTTATTAAAATATAATTTACAATTCACCTATTAAAAATGCATACAGCAATGGGTTTTTTTTTTACAGCAATGGTTTTGGTATATTACATTACAATTTTTAAAAATTGTGGTAAAATATCTGTAACATAAAAATTGCCATTTTAACCTTTTCTAAGTATACAATTTGGTGGCATCAATTACATTCAAAATATTGTATAATGATCAACATATCTATTTCCAAAACTTTTTCATCATCCTAAATAGAAACTCTGTAACCATTAAGCAGGGTTCTAATTCTTAAAGGTTAGAAGCATTTTACAGCCAAGTCTCTAAAGTTACGTGTTATTTGACCCGTGATGTCCTGACAAATGGAATGTACAAATCTGGTAGGAAAAACTTGTGCCATCGTAACTACGGATTGCTCCATGAATAAGCATCCTGTACCCTAAATTGTCACTACAACCACTGAAATGTTTCTTGTTAATTAAGACCTGGCATAGAAAGAGACCACAGGCATCCAGTTTAAGTGGTTAGACACATCTTTCTCATTAGGCTTCTCATGACTGCCTCACTCCTAACTTTTAGCATAATTACATGATTTTATTGCATTATTTCCATTTATTCTAATTTGTCAGGAATACTTAAATGATGTGATTCAGTTTTACCATACAACCATTGAAAGTGTTGATTTCCGGAAAGACACTGAAAAATCCAGACAAGAGATTAACTTCTGGGTTGAATGTCAGTCCCAAGGTAAGAAAGACTCAACACGTTGGAGCTCCTGTTCTTTTCCATTTAAAACAAACAGATCAGCCCATCTTTTCAGATTGCTAGTCTGTCGGGACCAGATGCTTACATGTGTGGACTGGGTTCAAAGCTTATTTTGCAGGTGTCAAACAGTTAAAATGCTTAGATGTTACAGGTACTTATTGTTGGTCCATTGCTCCACCGTAAAGGTGAGATGCCTTTCATCCAGGTGCAATACCAGCAGGTTGTCAACTATTTCTTTTTTTTTAAAGGGTCAGTAGAAAGATTGTGAAAAAATTTATTCAGAGGGAAATGGAAACAGTAAAATTCCAATTCTTATCAAATTTTCACTAGACACATAATTGTTTTCTGGGTGAAGGGCATTTAGAGATAGTGATAAGTGGTGAAAAATCTGAGTTCAACGTAAATGGAATAATTTTTGAATATGAAACTGCCCTGTCTGGTCTTTCCTTGGGAGAAGCAGCCAAACTCCAAATTTATTTCTCCTTACTTCTTATACAATCCACAAAAATTCCCATTCTTTCAAGGTTCCAGTCTGTTGCCAAGAGGAAATCGGGCTCACTGAAAATATGCGTACTAAGACGTGAATATCTAGTTTCTCCTTCGTTAGTTCACTTTCCCCACGTACTTCAAATGTCGGTGACGTCAGCGTCGTCTATTACTGTGGGATTTAAGTGGGAATCTTCTTGAGGTGGAAGAGGCTTCTCATCTTAAGACGTAGGCATGCATTCAAGTAACTGCTATATTGGTATTTTGAGGTGGTAAAGGATACATCCTGAAAATGGACGATTGCTTGATAGTTTGGGCTCCTCCAGTCTGCCTTAGAGCTCGGTTCTTGTGGAAGGAGCCCAGAGTGGGCCAGGAGTGGGAAAGACCCTGGACTGATCTTAGCCAGACTTGCTGCTTTTTGGCTGTGTGGCCTGACGTCTTATGGAATGTAGTTTACGCTTCTATAAGGAAGGGATAATAACATCTGCATCTCATGGTTGATGTAGGAGGGAATGAGAGACGGCATGTGCGAGTCCCTACAAAACAGAGTTTCTATCATGGTCTAGTACATGTATCTGCATTTTTGTTTATATGTGAGCAAATAGACTCTGCTGTGATGAGTGCTTGAGATAGTTCTTCTCAAGGAGATTATAATAAAAAAATAAAATAAATTATAAAATAATAAAAAATAAATAAAATCAGGTGGCAGGATCTATATGTTGAAAGATCAACCATGGAATAAAATATCTGATGACCAGTTCCAAACAACGATACAGAGAATCAGACACTCTGTCAGTTACAATTCTCCTTTGGGAGGAGTAAGAGGGTCCCTTCCCCCCATCACTCCCACCCTTACCTCCACTTCCACCCGACCCAGGTTGCCCTTTAGCTGAATCCTCTTGGATTAGTTCCTGAATGAGACATGCTCCAGCCTTAGGGATGTTAAACTGCAGTAAAAAAAAAAAGTCTGTGTAGATGAACACCTTTGCTACAATTCATATCCAGGTTATTCCCTGGAACCTTTTTGTTTTAAGGTAAAATCAAGGAACTCTTCAGCAAGGACACTCTCAACAACGCAACGGTGCTGGTGTTGGTGAATGCTGTTTACTTCAAGGCCAAGTGGGACAAATACTTTGACTGTGAAAACACGGTGGATGCACTTTTCTCTCTAAATGAGGTACTGTGTGAGAGAACTCAGAGTTTTCCAGGCAGTCCCCTCACGGGTTCCGCTAAGAGTGATTGGCAGCAAGCATGATCCAATCTCAGCTTAGGTCTCTGGGTTACAACTGACATTTATAATAAGAGCATTTTGTAATGAACAAAAATCAGCATGTTTACGAAGCATTTTTGTGCCAGGAGCTGCCCTGAGCGTTTTCCCATCATTATTTCATTTAGTCCCCCAAATAACATGAAAATGGGTGTCCTTATTATTCCCATTTAGGAACTGAGGGCAAAACAATGCAGAGGTGAAGTAACTGAGCCAAAATCGTGTGTTAGGATTCACATCTGTGAGTGTTTGCCTTAAAAATCCCATGTTCCAAGCTGCCGGGCTGTAGACAGGGAGGGCGGGAAGGATCAGATCCCAGCCCAGAACTTTCGATGTTATTCTTCCGAGCTCTGCACATCCTTCTCTGCAGAGTGAGGATCCCCCACATGCTATGAGGTTATTAGGAGATTATTCTGAGGTTTAAGGACCGGGTGGTGCCCTTTCCTCTGACATAAGCCTATGGAGCAGGAGTTGTTATTTAATATACAGAAGATTATTATTTAACCAAGGCTCCCATTGATGGGGCTGTTCAGGCCAGTAGGGGTATGGGGGTCGTGTGAAGCCAAGAGACTGGGATTGAGCAGGCATGGGAGATCAAGCTGGCAGGGCTAGTTTCTGCTGGCCAGGCTGTGTGGGCAGACTCCTGGATGGACAGTCTACCAACAAGTGATCCTGGAGCTGAAGAACCTATTATGGTTTCATCAGGTAGATAGAGTCTTGACAAAGTAAGAGCCACCTGATCAGTGGGTGGAAGACATTTTTCCGTTCGATCACTGGTCTAGCTCAGAACTTCTGGTGAAGACATTTCTCATCTTAATGGGCTCCTTAGCATGGCAGTCCTTTGACTGTCTACCTTGTCCACTGCAGAACGAGAAGAAGAGTGTAAAGATGATGAATCAAAAAGGTCTATTTAGAATTGGCTTCATAGAGGAGCTGAAGGCGCAGATCCTTGAACTGAGGTATACCAAGGGCAAGCTCAGCATGTTGGTCCTGCTGCCGTCTCCCTCAGAGGATAACCTGAAGGGCTTGGAAGAGGTAAATCTCCACTTCCATTTCTCTACCAAATATATCATCATAGATCTTTGGGGAACAGCATTACCTACTGTGTACCATCTTAAGGGAGAATCGTAGCTGAGCTATCAGAGAATCAAAGAATACCTAAGAATCTGAATTCGATGAGATATTTATTTCTCATCTGTTGAGAACTAAAGAACAAACGCCAAAAAAGTTGGATGGGATTTTCTTCTCAAATCTCATCGTTCTCTGCAATTGGTTTTCCAGACCAAGGAATCTGGGCGACATGTAACCTGAAAATTGCTACGAATGAAACAGCTTTTCCTTTTCCCTGAATATCCTGACTTCTGGCCTCTTACTCAGATTGTTTTGCTGTAGCTCAGTTAAGGACCCTTTAGCTGAATCCTTTTTTTGGGTGCGTGTGCCTTGACAGAAGTGGAGATACTGATACTGAAGTAGGCTGCTCGCTGAGGTAGGAATGAATAAAGGCTGGAGAAGAGAGAGAAATACAGGGAGATAGAAGGACAGGTGTAATAATCAGAATAATAACCATGATTCAAAACTGCCATGGGTCAGCACTGTGTTAAGTACTTGACATACATTATTTTGTTTAATCCTTGTAAGAGCCCAGTGGTATTATGTCTATTTTATAGAAGAGGAGGTTAAACTTTAGAACATTAAGACTTGGTCAGAGCTCACCCAACTTAATCAAACGAGCTTGGCTGGACTTTGAACGCTGTCAGACACCAAAGAACCAGGACCCAAATTGTCCTGTAACTTTTAAAGAGGAAAGAGATTTGCCGAGGAGTTTTAAATGAAATCAGAGTATTTTGCGACTGAGGGAAAGACCTTGAGGCTTGTATCCAACTGTGGAAACAGACTCAGGCCCTTTGAAGTATTTGGGGCATCCTTGGCTGGCTCATGTGATCTTAAACATTATTTTCTTCCTCTTGTAGCTTGAAAGGAATATCACCTATGAAAAAATCATGGCCTGGAGCAGCTCAGAAAATATGTCAGAAGAAACAGTAGCCGTCTCCTTCCCCCAGTTCACGCTGGAAGACAGCTATGATCTCAATCCTGTCCTCCAGGACATGGGCATCACAGACATCTTTGATGAAACGAAGGCTGACCTTACTGGAATCTCTCCAAGTCCCAATTTGTACCTGTCAAACATTGTCCATAAAGCCTTTGTGGAGGTGGATGAAAATGGCACCCAGGCAGTGGCAGCCAGTGGGGTTGTCGGCGTGGAAAAGTCCTTAGTGTCCTGGGAGACGTTTAATGCTGATCGCCCTTTCCTCTTTTTCATCAGACACAACAAAACCCAGACCATTCTCTTCTATGGCAGGGTTTGCAGTCCTTGAAGGGAGCACACTGCCTAGTACTTGGGAGCTGGAAGAAAGTGGCAATACTGTCTTCCCTGGTAGAACATGGGCGTTTGTTCTTTTTGCTCACATCGAAAGCTGACCGAATTCCATCACAATGCCACGCTCCCATCTTCCAGCCATTGGTCCTCGCTCGTCCTGACCTTTCCCTCACCCTGTAGCAGATTTTCATCTAAGTCCATTAGTATTGAAGGGCCCTTGCTCCTCCCTGAGCTTTCGAGCACATACATTCACCCTCTGTGATCTGAAGGTCAGCAGCATTGTGGATGATATTGCTTCTAAGTTACCTACCTCCTTATGAAGGAATCCTGAAAGTTCAAGTCCTTAGACCACTTCTAGGAAATGGCAAACTCAGAAAACACTTTTCCGTGGATGGCAAGAGAAAATGTCTAAATGGCATGTGCTTTGGAAACTCAGCTCTATTTCTGCAGTACTTAAAATCCTGTGCACCCCTGGCAGGATGCCGTGCCTCCCCCTCTTCCATCTTCTGCTGCGGAGAGGACGTCCTGGGAGGCTCTTCTCACTTGGGAGAAAGTACAGCGTGCGGGTAGATTTAAGGATGTCAGACTCCTCCACCAGCATGCATTTGGCACAGAGCAGGGGAATGGTATTTGTCTTGTGAATCTGACATTGACTCAGAAGAGCGGCAAGTCGATTTAAAAGAGGTTAGTGTTTTCCCTCTTGAGACTCCGAGGCCATCATCATAAACCACTTCCCTTGGTCTCTTCTCCACCCCCGTCCTAGAGAAGCCTTCTGTTGTGCCTCCTAAATGCCCAGCATGTCGAGGTTGGGAGGGAAGCCGGGCTCCTCCTTCTCCTCTCTCTGTCCTCTGGCCTCACAAGGGCAGGCCTGGACATGATGCACATGGATGCCCCTTGCCAGGAAGGCTGGTGGCTTCCTCTCAAGCACTAGTCCACTGAAGGCCTGACACCGGAGTCTTTAAGACTCCAGGAGATGGGACTTCAGTTCTTTGATGGTGAGTCTGAGTTCTTGGTCTCTGCCTTAGCTGCACGCCTAACTTGGAATCCGGCAGTCTCTCCTCTTACAGGTGAATTTCTAGTCTTGTTTGTGGCCCAGATTCCCAGCCCGAAGGCCGTCCTCCTCCCAGATGCCACTGTGCTGGCCGGGTGTGGCGGTAGCAGTTTTTGGGGGAGGAGGTAGGTTGACTTCACCCACTGGCCCTCCCCTCGTTCTCTCACTAGTGATTTCTTTGTGCCGTGAAAGACTAGCGCCACGATCTCTGTTCAGGCTTCTCATTGTCCAAGCTGTTCATGGGGTAAAAAAACTTCTCATTGATAACGTGACCCAGTTCTTCCTAGTCCTCTACCCGGAGTGCATGTCCCACAAGTCAGATTTATCTCAGATAATCAAATATTTAGTCTCTCCTGCGGTTGCTTTTGGGGTCGATGTCTTGAGGGCTGATTCCACACTGACCTGGCGTGACAGCTGGACACGGGGTGAACAACCGTGACCCACGTTTAAGTCTGGCATTGCCCAGCGTTGCTCTTGGTCCACTTCTTTTCCTTAACAAGCACATTTTCTCATTTGTGTTGGGATTTTTCAAAATTTTAAACACAAGGGAAAAATGTATCTCTTTACAATAATGAGAAAAAGTGTGTTTCTTTAGTCTTTCGGCAAATCGGTAAACACGTCCTTTACTGACCTTTGATTGATTAAAATGTTTCCTAATCAGTAAAGCACTTTTGTCATTAATTAAACTATGTACCATGTGTTACCAACTGACTGTTCTCAGTGACATAAATCTAACTTTAAAACTTTTCATTCCCAAATGTAGAAATACCTACTCCATAAAGCTAACAGTTCTTCTCAGTTATGTAGGAATAATGATGTATCTTGTGCCAGTAATAATTGTTTCCAACTTTCCACAATAATTACAGACGAAGGCACACAAAAAAGATGAAAGCTCACAGCAATTTTAAAACCGAAGAGCGATAGCCAATGGATCATCAGAATAAGGAAGACATTTCTGCTGACGACAAGTTGAGGGGGTGGAGGGAAAGGCGTGGCTGGGGGGTGACCTTCTCACACCCCCAGTGCTTCCTCCCACTGTTGCCTTCCCCTGAGTTCAGAAACATGAGCTCTCTGACAGTCTAAATGCTGGAGCCCCATCTCTCTACTTCCTTTTTGCTGCTGCCTCCCAGCTCCTGTCTTTCTTATGAGTTTGTTTTCTTTCTGCAGCCATTGGAGGACTGAGGGCAACTCCCTGAGGATGACTCAGAGGAAGCCGGTGACAGGCAGTGGCACTTTGCACCCCAGGCAGTTTGGTCACTACAAGTGAAGTACTTTTGGTGGGACAAGGGCAGAAAGAGCCCTGGTGGCAGTGCTCTTGGGTTTGTATATTTCTTCTACCCTCTCTGTTTAGAGGGTCAGAGAGTGAGATCATACAGAGAGGAGAGGATATTAACTCAGTCCCGTAGAACCACACTAGATGCGAGCTTATGTGACACTGGGAACTAGGCTCAAAATGAGACGCCCTTTGACTCTTCCTTCTTCTCACGCCAGCAAGATGGACCTTCAATATGGCAGCCAGAGGCAGCCCGTCAGGCTGCTGTGATGGCTGGAAAACCAGCCAGAGTGTGCAAATCAGGGGAGGGAGCTCCTCCATTTCCAGGTCAAGGCTCTCTCCATCCAGTGACGCTGATGGGTTGAACAAATGAGGCAACAGAGATTAGAAAATAATTGATTCAATTATGTCAACTATAACTTTTCTGGTAGGAGAACCATGGATGTGTGGTGCCCAACAGGCTCCCTAGTAACCTGTAGTTCACAGGCTCTGTGTGTTCTATTTTATTTCAACCCAAGTCCCCCTTGGGATTTCAGATGTTATCTAATGTAAATTTGCACCTCAAACTCTGCTCCACACCAGTTTTTTCAATTTTTTAAAGTTTTTGAGCCGGGGCAAGCCAGAACATGTATTGCTCCATCCCTGGATGCTGTTCACTTCTTTTGCATGTGTGCCATTTTAAAAATTACAATACCATTAACCAGTGGTGCAGGTCCCATAACTAGGGCGACAGGGTGAGGAAGCTGTGCGATTGTCTCAGTGGACTTCTTTGCTCCATGGTTGAATGCCAACTTCGGACGTGTTCTTCATCCACGTTACTCATGGGCTATTTTCGTCTTCCCAAATCCACTGTCTCATTCTTTACTTTTCACTCAGTAAAAATAACATAAAGTTTATCCCCACATACACACACCTCTTACCAAAGTGTTCTCTATTCTTAATATTTAAGTTAAAATTTCTCATATTTTAGTACACCAATTCCCTTCTAAATAATGTTATTCAGAATGTGCATCAAGCAAGATTTCAGCCCAAGGTGGGTGAAGAGCATTTAAGAAGCAATCAAATGCATGACAGCAGGGTTGATGGAAACCCACACACCCTTTGTTGACAGACGTAGGTTCTAAACAAGCCAACCCATGTTCCTGGTTAAATAAGTGCGAAAAAACTGTAAGGTTATGGAAAAAAAGTAGTGTTGAATAAGGAAGGACTATATAACGCTGTGAGATGACAGCGATTTATGGCAAGAACCAGAAGAAGAGTTTAGACAACATTTTGGCACAATCAATAGGATTTAAGAAGGCATTATGGAATTGGAGCTGAAATCCATGAACATAAACTGTGGTAAGATATGAAAGACCTGAATGAAATATAAGAGGACTGCTGGGAGCTAAAAATGCAACAGCAGAATTTAAGTAGGTTTGAGCGGCAGGCTGGAGCAGTAAGTGCGTCTGGGTGTAGAGGCATCCCAGTGCCCCCACCGGTGACTACCAACATCAAAGAGGGGGACCCTTGCCTGGAAGCAGATGCAGCCCCTCTGACTCTCAGGTTTTCAAAGGAGGTGGCAACAGCCACCAAACAGCATTTGTAGATAGTCTGAGGAGAAGTCTTGAACACAGAGATAAGCATATAACCTAGATCACCAAATGATCTTGAAGAAAGAAATCAACCTCAACAGTGTTAAGAGGTCAAATAAGAGACATTAAAAAACATAAAATAAGAATAGGGAATTATTCAGATATTCACACAGTTATTACAAAAGGTCAGTAAGTTGACTGAGTACCAGAAGGAACACAGCCAGAAAGCCATCTGGAAGATTTGAACTGTGAAATTCTACAAAACCTAGAGTAAAAAGACAGAGAGTACTTTATTACGTGAAGAGCTGTGCAAGGTATTTTGAAGAAAGTTTCAACATTCATCCATGAGCATTTCAGGAACAGAGAACTGAGGGGAGAAAGTAGTCAAATTTATCAGAAAAGAAAATGTACAGAATTGGAAAAATGCCACGCAGATTGAAAGGGCCCATCGAGAGCTTCCACACTGTGGCGCCATTACAGAAGTTCAAGGAAAAGAGACAGTGTTCTAGAAGCTTTGTGGGTTAGAAGAAATACAGTTCATAAAATGGAATGAGAATCAGATTGAGCTCAGGTTTCTCTTTGGCTCTGGGAGAAGGCAACAGAGCAATAATTTGAAGTGCTGAGAGAAAAAAACAATCATGAAACTGAAATGTGTGCCCGTACAAAATGTTATTCAAACGTGATGCAAAGGCGTGAGGAAGGACCCCAAGTTTACTACCCGCAAACTTTAACCCGAAAGGATGTCCAGACGTTCCACTCCAAAGAAATTTAGAAGACGAATTACTGAAGGAAATGTGAGGTATGAGTAAGCGGGTCCCCAAACACAAAAAGAGCAAGACATGATTGAAGTCTAAATTAGAATTCGTAATTAAAAAATTAAGATTCAGATGATCTCAACATGAGAGGTGGAAGACGGTGGGGTAAGGAGTGAGGAGGGAATTAGAGGGAAATAAACCCTCCTCTTGTATTTCAGGGGATGAAAAAGTAGATCACCCCTACATATTAGTAGAAAACTATGTTCAATATTTGCGTTAAACCTAAGGATCACCAGCTGAAGAACTGAGATAGGCTGCTTAATCGGCAAAGCATTAGCAGAAAAAAGAATGAAAAACTCACGGTTAATTCAAAGAAATGCAAAAAAGAAGTAAAATAAGAAAGCATGGTGTGTACAAAACTTAAAACAAAATGGCACAGAAGTCCAAATATGATTAGTCCCAGGAAATGTGGACGAATTAAAGTGGACAGTCAAAAGACAGACTGAATTAAAAAAACAAAGATTTATTCATAGACTATATATAAGAGGCAACAATAACAATAGGAAGATTAAAATAATGGCAGAAAAAAAGAGATACCAGAGAAATACTAACAGGAGGGGACTGAGAATTACAACCATCAGATAAAAACATCTAATCAAAGTCCAAAACAGTAATAGGGACAAAGATAAATTCCACTTCCATAAAAGAAGCCATCCATCAAAAACAAAAAATACTGTCAAGAGCATAATTTCTAAATATAAGGAGGTACACATAAAAGAAGAAAGTGAAAAATCTACAAAAATAATAAAGAACTTTGACACATCTTTTCTAGATACCAATAATTTAAATAGAAAAACTTACTTCTCAGAGGAAAATTTAAAACTTCGAATACAGTTATTAGAGAACAAGAAACCATGACAGCACTTTTAAATTTTTTCCCCAGAAGTTTGAAAAAAGAACAACATACTTCACAAAGCCAAATAAAGATAAAAATGATTAAAGAAAGACAGAATTTTTTCAAAATGGAAGACAAAGCCTTAAAAAAAAAACTGGAGGTATGATGAAAAAAGAATAAAAGCATTAACAAACAATCTAGGATGAAAAGGGATGTAAGTTATTTTGTGTTTGGGGAGGTTTATCTTTAAATTGCTAGGAGCAGACTCACTAGGACAAAGTACAGTAATTTTATTTTAAATAAAGTTTGCAATATTTTATTGGCAAAAAATTTTTAAATGTAATTTTGTTAGCTATTGCTGAATTCATATTATAAGGGCTACACCGTAGCACACTCATTAGCAATGTATGTAGGTGCCTGGTTTCCTTACAAACATGCCAACAGAATGCTGTAAAACTTTTGGATTTTTGCCCCACTGATAGATAAGAAATGGTATAGAGATTTAATTTGGGTCTCTCTTGTTTTGAGTGAATTTGAGCATGTTATCTTATGTTAAGTCATTTTGTTTATCTTTTCTGGTGTGATAGCTTTTCATATTTTTTGGAACCGTATTTATGTAGGTTTTTTCCATTAATGTTTAAGAGCTCTTTATGTGTTAGGACAATTAACCCTTCATGTTAGCATTAGTTAAAACCTTTTCTCAGTCTGTCGTTTCTCTTTGACATTGCTTATTCTATCTATTTTCTCCTTGGCCCAACCCCCCCAAAACCCCAACCCTCAAACTAAAGGTTTTTTTCTTTTATAATTTTCATAAGCTGAATTTTCCCAGGTACATTGCAGGCCCTCTCAGTATATAGATTCAGGTTTTATTTTACTTCTGGAATGCTTTCTTGGATTATAGTTTTAAATATGATTTCTACTCCACTGTTTTAACTTTGTGTCTCAGAGACCATACATATTTTTTTTCAGTGTCCATATTTCAAAAATTTATTTATCTCAGACTGTGCATAATGGAGTCAAACTTGAAAATGTACCTGTTACAAGAACGGTATTAGTTCAAATATATACATGGATTCTCGGCAGACCGAATCTTTAAAATACAATTACGGAAAATAAAAGGCGGAAAGCCTTAAAATATCACAATAAATTTATCAGAGACCATAC